TTTTTGGGGCCGGTGCCGGTCGTATCTTGCAAAATTCGTAAGTAGGGGCGTTCGTAAGTAGAGGGAAATTTTTGGGGCCGGTGCCGGTCGTATCTTGCAAAATTCGTAAGTAGGGGCGTTCGTAAGTAGAGGTACCACTGTATTTCATAGTGACAAGCAATTTGTTAGGATTTATCCAGACCTTTTTTACTGAATTCTGGAAGTTAGCAGACATGCCATATAGACGTGCACCAAAGATTCTTGGAGTTGCAGGAAAGCTGAAATGAATGACACGTGTTGCGTCTGTAAACCCTACCACTGCCATGCAGGCATCAGTTAAAACTGGAAACAAAAATAAGAAGATCTATAATGCAAAAGCCACTTTCATGTGTTATGAGAGTCAAAAACTGGAAGGGAAACCCATATTTCTAAATACATGTAGCTCACTTTACCATCAACACAAATCTATATGATTCTATAAGCTCAGTTCTAACATATGGATTCATCTCATCCCGATTCTTAAATTAAAGGAGTGTTCCTGCCTCTTGCTTTCAGACAAATAAGGCAAACCATGTCTTTTAAATACAGGAAATAACCATCTCGAACAGGTAGACAAGATGGGATAATAGAAGCAGAGACAATAAATACTGTTCTTATTCATTCCATCTGTTTTTTATTATCTGATTAACTCCTACCCTAGGGTTTAATGAGACCGTTACCTATTATAGCTGGTCACAATCGACTTGATGCTGTTCTTGATCTAAAGCTGGACAATGCTCTGTAAATTAGTCAATTAAACTGTAATTAGGGAGCTCAACAGCCAACTGGATTTTGAGAAAGAACCTACAGAAATACTTACCCAGCACAACATGGGTGCCAGAACTGAATTTTTTGTTCCACTGCTCTACAATATAATCAGAATGAAATCCAATTTCCGGATTCATTTTCAAGCAAAAGAGTGACGTGCTTGCTACTGCCTGATCATAAAAATAAGGATACGGTGATTTCAAATAATATACAAAATAAAAGAATTTTCAATAAAAGGTCAGTTGACAGAAAACACTGAGTCATAATGTGATTCACTTATTTGGGTCATAGCATGATGTGTGGGCCCATCCATTATAGCTAACCTATCCATGACAGCTTCCTAAACAAACCATGGTCAACACCCTTTCTTAACTTTACTTAAATGCAGGTTCTAAAGCATGCTCTTGGAATCAAATTTTTTTTTACGACAACGGTATTATTGTAAGTGTGACTTCAGCTGTACTGATTCTTCAGCACCTCATAACCTCCTCACCATAAGGGGCATTGGAGGGTAGTAATATCATTTGGAATTTCCTATATTCCTCCTTTATCTCTCACCATCCCCTCTACGTAAGAACAGCAACCTTGCTGCCTTTTTCTTTCAACTCACTTGCTCTGCTTCCCCCTCTCCCCAGCTTCCTATAATATAACCTTTCTGTTAAAGTTCAAAGAGCTGCTTCCTTGCTCAGGTTAGGCTGACACTCTCCAGGAGCAGATATTCCATTTAGTATTAAAAGCCTGTTAAGTTATCCTTTATTTTCCAAGTTCTAACTTGGACAAATGTGCCTAACACACATCCGACCGTTGTTCCTGAAAGGCTCTATTTTTAGGGAAGGAGATACCTTGTACACTATGTCTGTTTCTTCCACAGAACTGGTAAAAACCAGAGTCTTTTGGGCATCTGTAGGGGTAAAATCTAGTGTTTGAAGTAAAGTAGAGATCCGGTCACACTCAAGGCAGAGCTGCACAACCTGAAATTACATGTCATTCAAACCTGTTAAACTTAAATTGTTTCTCACGTTAAGAAGCCTTTCAGCATTTGCTTTAGAAATGCAAACCTAACTCTATTAGGACTACTTCCCTAGGACAGAAATCCACAATCATTTTTTATATACCGCCAATGACCAAAAGAGTAGAAATACCCAACAATTCAGCTGACAGTCATTTGATCTTTTGCTCTGAGAGGACAATACTGAATTTTAGAGGGGCTCATAACACTTTTTTTTCACAGCAGTCTTCTTCCACCCAAACTACTTTATATGGTTTTTACCTACTAAGACACCCCAGCAGCTGTCTTTTGTGCATTCACCAAATCAAAACCTGCTATTATACAGACAAGTGATATAAAAAATATTCTACCTGATGCACTTTCCCATATATGGCAGCTTCTTCCATGGATGTGATTACAATGTATGGATCATTCATGAATTCTTTTGTTAAATATTCTATGTTTTTGTCCCAGTGGTTCCCAACAGCGACAATCTGCTGTGGTGCAGACTCCTTTTCTTCAACATTCAAGTTTGTTTTGTAGTATTCTAAAATAGTAAGTATCTATAAAAAGAGATTAATCTTCATTGTTATCTTCTGCATTTCTAACAGAGAAATGCTATGGGTGGAAGCCATTATGGGTGGAAGCCATGAGGGACAAGAAAGTAACTGCTTACCAGCTGCTCTTTTGAAATGAATTAGGATTTTGATTTATGTATTGTTTAGATCCATGCCTGTCCTCTTTTCCTTTCTATTCCAATTCATCAAATTCAAGCCCCCTCACCCCAATGAAATGTTTTATTTATTTACAAGGAGTGACACCAAGTGCAGCTGACTTTTTTGGCAGAGGGGAGGAAATATTTTCAGCTTATTCCTTCCTCGGATGCCCGAAAGGGACTTCCAAGCCCACACTCACCTGCTCACCGGCTTCAGAGAACAGTACATCGACTTCATCCAACACAAGATGACACAACCTAAGGAAGAGTAAACTCTGATGCTCAAGCAGCCGCAAAAGGCTTTGTGGGGTGGTTACCATGAGTTCACCTGCAAAATGAAAAGGAAGGCATCGTTGTACACCCTCATTAGGTTTGAAACGAAGTGCGCATAAAACATTATTAGCTCAATGGCTCAAGTAGACCTACGCTAACTTGTAGTGTTTAGAAAATGAGGAAAAAGAACTCGCTGACTAGATTTATAGCATACACAAAGCAAAAGTGTGTCTATTCATTTTTGATGCGGTACAATGTGTGCACTCAGCTGTCTGGCTGTAAACAAGGCTTATGACGACGTAGTTTAAACTCAGTACACTGAAGTTTAGTCAAGAAACTATGGTTATGTAAACCGTGCTTTAGAGGAACGTGTGGACCTAGCCATTTCCTCGTTTTGTAATGCATCCAGTGCTATCTCAAACATCGTGGCTTGGCAGTAGACTACAGGTAGTCATCGAGTTACAAACACAATTGGGACCAGAATTTCCATCGCTAAGCAATGTGGTCATAAAGCTCGACGTCATGTGACTGCATCGCTTAGCGACACCAATCCTGGCACTCCTGGTTGCCGTCGTTAACCGAAACCCACTGGTTTTTAGCCAAGGACCCACCCCAATCCAATCCATTCCCGGCTTGGTCTCTCCCCGCCCTGAGCCTTGGTTCTTCCAAGGTAAGGAACTGCCTCCCCTTCAACTCCCAGCAACCGCCTATTCTCCCTCCCATCTCTGCTCTTTTGGCTGCCCTGCACCCTACCTTGCAGGGCAGCAAGCAACCCCAGAACCGTGCAGCTCAGGGGCTTCTTGGGGTGTCGCAGCTCTGGGGCTGCAAAAAACCGCAGCCAGCCCAGCCCAGCCCAGCCCAGCCCAGCCCA